CTAAGCATCGGGTCAGCGGAGGTTTAACACAAGGCTACCAATACAAAACTCACCAGATTGCGGTGAGAACCTCAGAGCTTTGTCTTCAGTTGCCGCCTGGCATTATTTCCCAATTGGAGGGACGCACTAAAAATGGATTACTGACCTCAGACGAATATTCAATGACGTTAACTTGCAACGTTTCTTGGATCGAAGCCAAATCTGCGATGCAAGTAGGAGTCAAGTGAACGGAAGATGAATTCGTACAGTTGGCCGATACGTCGAGGTCAGATGGAGTTTCTCCTATGATTCCTCGGCATCTTGGATCGCTGAACACGTAGATTTACCACGAAAGAGCAGAGTTAAGAGTCAGCAAGGTGCATTGAATAAAGCACGACTTGATCGAATCGAAGTGCTTGGACTCGAAGCCCGTGAAGAGTACGGTCAAATCTGGCGTACAAAATGCCGTGACGTTGCACACACAGGAATCAGCGCCTCGGGGAATGAATCACGATCGCCATGCATCGAAAGGGCATGCACTCCAAGCAGAGCACCTAAGCGCGGAGACCATCCACAACTCATCGAGATAAGCACCCAACATTTAGTCGTCGTATAGACCAACCGATATGGATGCGAATGACAACGTCCGAGGAATAAGCTCAGGGGTAATATTTCATACCCCGAGCCTGAACCTGGTCTTGCATCAGAGAAACACTGCTTCCCAAGAATTCTAGTGATACTGTTAGGGTGCGAGACACTGAAGAATAGACGTATCCGGCAAGCGCAGAAGAGAACCGAGTAGATCTAGGAGGCAATGACGTGGTGATGCAGCTGGATGTGGTTGGCACGGTTGGAAGTGTTGCATTCCAGCTGGCAGAAGATGAGAGAAATGCAGTGAGTGGACACAATGGATAGAGTGGCAGAGGGTATGGAAGATAGCTCGCTGAGTGCTGGCATCGTCACAGTCTTGGAAACACGCCGACTGAAGTTGTGGTGGCCAAAATACACCGAGATATAACCTCAGGACGAAAATTTCGGAGAGAAACAGGGCTAGAGACAATGCGTCACTTGTGTTCGAAGGGATTGTCGTGGTGCGGGAGAAGGAGAGGATTACGTGTGGCGGTGCACTCGTGTAAACGACTAGTGATCCGCTTTTACCCAACGGACTTCGACACCTCTAACGAATCCTTAGAGCTCGCACCTGAGGGACTATCCCTCCTACTCCTCGCTACATTGGAATGAACCAACGTTCCAGATGATCCCCGGCGTATGTATACCAACTCAAATTTTACAGAGATATTTCGAGAGGGCTTTTCTTGTCTTCACCGTCTTCACGTCCACGGCTGAATAAGAGCGCGAATCAGGCATGGCTGCAGTAGTGAAGAGGAACAGATAATTCGCATCTCATCACACTCTGTGACTTTGTCACGCGTGGGGGGGGGGGGGGGGTTATATTATACTCGCGAGGTCCACAACATGAACGGCGAGTTTACCGAAGACAAACATGAAGTAATGTACGGGTGGTTATCCATGCTGTCTTGCCTTCGCACCACCATCAAGGCCATAAAAAACACGGTGAACCATTTCTTTTCTGCCTCTCCCTCCCTCGACACCGTGGCAGCCTCTGTGCGATACACTGGGCCTTACCACAGGCCTTATGGAGGGCCACATTTCTACGTGTTTTTATGGGTGGCAACGGTACTGAAGGTTTCTTAGATACATGTTGGATACATGCCCACATCCCACCGTGGAATAATAGGTCGGACGGCGCTATGTAATGTCCAGCCTGCCTTCGTTGCCCGGTACGTCCCGAATGGCAGTCAAAATGCACTTTTAATCTTCCAACATATTTTTGGACATTTTTCGATTTTCCGACACTTTAATGCCAGATTGGCAAGTTTTCGACACTTTTATGGGTTTCGTGAAGGTCAATAAATGTGTCGCAAAGTGGTCGTTATGGGAAGCATCGATGGCGTCCCGGTATTACAGCCGCAAATCGGTCTGCATGGCCACGAGACTTGTTTGGATTTCAAGTTCGAGTGGCTGAAAGATTCCAGTGTTCTATGGCAGGTTGATATATCGCTCCTGAAGTCTTATATTTTCCACGTACCTGCTGCACCAACTGAACATGTTCATCCAAAACTGTAGATAGAATTCCTTGGTTTCATTCTTGGTTCAAATCACTGTATTCAACCCTGTATTTTTATGGATGGAATCTGGTATCCTCAAGTTTTGGCTATGACACGAACAAGGTAGAAATTTAACTCTAAAACGGACCAAGTAGTACTTGCCCCACAGATAACTACAAGAATGGGCCCTGCACTCCGTTTGTCAGCACCGCGTGATTGAGGCAATAATTCAAGACGTGGCGACAGTACCATTGACCTTATCATTGGCAGAGCTTCCCGCTTGCGACGCTGGGTCAATTTCCCGCTTCGGAGATATGGACCCGAATTTTCTGCAGCTGCGGCTTCAGGATTGACAACTAAAATAGACTGTTGAGTACTGCACTTGTCCACAGGACTCAAGTGAGACGTGGAAGATTTTTTCGGTGCGCAGCATACCGGCTCGGCGAAGCCCAACTCAGATTTTACCACTTTGGTTCGAAGTCACTCTCAAATTTCTGCGTACAGCTACAGTCTCAATGAACCACGAGCCAGAATTGAGAAAGAAAGACAAACGATATCGATACATTGACGATACGCTACATAAGAAAAAAGAAAGAAACAGAGAGGATGACGGAAAAAAAGATATTACATTGCACGCCTACGCTTCCTTCATCCTGCCACCACGATCTCCACCTGCACGACCCTCGCCGCCGTCCCTGTTCCCACGCTTGCGCTTGAGGGACGTCGACGTAACGTTCTCGTCGTTTGTATTCGCCTTTGGTCTCCGTTGGCCCGTCCACGACGGGCCCAGGAGAAGGCACCCTCCGCGTTCTACCCATGCTCTCTCTGGCGACCGCATACTGGATTCTCCCGATCGCGTGGTAGTAGTACGCCCGACGGTATTCTTGAGGATCGTGCTGGCCGGTGGGTGAGTCGCTTGGATGCGCAACACCGCAGTGCAATATCCGATATTTTATTCATATTCCACCCTCTCTCTTGCGGATTTCATGGCAGACTGGCCCCAAAATGTCCTTGCGCGGGAGCCAGGATCATCGTAAAAATAAGTAACATTTACTTGGACCTCATGCGGTAGAGCTGGTACTTTAATTTACCGTCCATCGCCTGTCGGCGTGGATCTGCCTGTCCATATTCTACGACCAGTGACAATAATATCTATCTTGCCGCACATTCATCCTGATTTTCTCATCAATAATGTTTCTGGATCATGTACATGTGGCAAAACAACTTGGTCTCCTTAGCCTTGGGCCCGATCCGCAGCTGGCTGAACTTCTCGATTTGGGATTCAGTTGAATTGTGCCCGGCGCCTGGGGATCCTCCCAGGTCTCATGCTACTCCCGATTTGGGCCAGGCTTTTTTGACTCCATGTCCGGCCTAGTTATAAAAAAAAGCAAAACTATTTCTCTCCCTCTCTCTTTCTGGATCCCGGCAACGATGAGACGGAAAATGGTCTCTATGTTTTCTGTGGCCTTCCTCGGCAGCCGACGAACTTTATGTAGATCGTTGTATCCGAGCGACTCCCGGCCCTAGATTCGATGGTTTTTTGCACAGGATGTACTTCGTACATTTTAATATCAACTTTGAAACGCTCCACCGGCGTACAATCCAACACAACATCGCTCACATCGGCCACTCTGATTCCGCCCCCACTTATAAAACCGAATCCACGGGATCCACCAATATTCTTTCATTTGTTCAAACCACCAAACTCTTTTGGTGATCCTGCAATGCCAAGCCAGACACCGCGTGCTGGGAACTGAGTTCTGTATATACTGCCTGGATTGTCGCCGACAAGTCCACGCGGAAATATCTCAAATAAGCAGCTGGCTCAGTAAAACGGTGAGCTCTCTTTCCTGCCGGCCGATAAGTTACAATGAGAGAAAAGCTTACCAGAGCGATTCAGAATTATTTGGGGTTATCATGAGCTCAGGGTGAGGTTCGCTTTCCATGACTCTACCGCCTGAAATACAGCTTTTACACCCGAAGGACCTATTACAGCACCAGGCTATAGTAGTTCTGCATACGGAAGGACCGGCCCGCGGCTAAAGCTCAATGCGTTTTCGGTTTCGGAAATTCTCGACTTTGCTTGTAAAGCGCCTTAGATTGAAATTTGAGACAACGCTTCCTGATTGAGACAACTTGAATGTCAATGATGACAGGTCAAGCGGATCGCCCGGTCGAATCTTGGGCCGAATACTTAGCTGATGCGCGATCCAGGATGCATTGCCACAGCTCCCATCGCCTTTCCCATCGTACGACTTGAAAGTTGAAACCTCGGGCGTCTACGGCGAGTGAACCGAAGGAGCGGGTGCAAGACTCGGAGACGTGAGTGGGAATTGAAGTGCCTATGTTCTTTGTTTCGTCCACGAGATAATGCGACAAAAGAGGGGATTCACGCATCTCCCTGTTCTCGTTCTCGTTCCACCGTTTTGAAAGAAGAGCCTGAGTAGTGAAGGTGGAGCCACGTGAAGCAGTGGGTCCGAGTCCGGTAGCTAAAGGTATAAATATAAATCTCGGACAGTGTATCCGAGTACTGCATTTTAGCAAGCAGTATGGGTAGCCCGAAAAGATGACCGTTGGAGAAAGACGGCAAATGCTGGGACAAACCGGTGCCAATTCTACATCTACTTTCCATGACAAGTTCCTGAAGTTGAGGCAAACAATGCCTGTTTGACTCAGGCACAAGCCATGTGTCTTTCTCTCTGAACTCATTTTATTTTATGTCATCCCCTGGCAGCTGTATTCCAACAAACCACACAAGAAATCTCATCCTTCGAAATTTCAACTCACAAATTCAGACAGAAAAGAAAGATTGAACTAAGTAAATAGGAACTTAGTCTAAAGTTCGCCTATGAAAGCTGTCCCATTGGTTCGGGGATGGAACACAGAGGGGAAGGCTCGGTAGCTGAGGGTCTGCAGCTGCCTTCCATGACCTCCTCTTGGATGCAATGCAGACAATGCCTGTTCGACTCAGGCCCGAGCCATGAGAATCTGATTTTCACTTCTTTTTTCTTTCTTTTTTTGCCAATGTGGCCATATGCCCCAGAAAATTCCACAGCAGAATATGGATGAAAAGGGAGGTAGAAAGGCCTGGTGGAGGATCTGCATCTGCTTCTAAGAAATTATTTTCCATGAACTATGCAGACAACGCCTGTTCGACTCAGGCCCGAACCATACCGTCGCTGTTTGGACTTTTTTTTTTTGGGCATTCCTCAGAAAATTCCACAATGAAATGAGGGTGAATTGGAGGATCTGCATCTGCATCTAAGAAACGGTCTTCCATAAAATGTGCAGACAACGCCTGTTCAACTCAGCCGAGTCATGCGCGCCGTCGCCGAGTTACTTATTTCCTTTTGATTTCTGCCATTCCCCCAGAAAATTCCACAATAAAATGAGGGTGAGATGGAGGGGGGGAAGGCTTGGTGGAGGGTTGCTGCTCGGCGCAAGTTCGGCGCAGAGTAAGCAAGTACGAAGATGTGGCGATGCACCCTTGACCTGCGCATCAGCCAAACATTCGGCCCGGTCGATCCGCCTGACCTCTTTGCTTTCTTCTATCGTTAGTCTCGATCGGAAAGCATAAACGAGCTGTGGAATAAAGCGTATCCCTCTGCGGATGGAATAAATCACCGTATATATTTCTACGGCCGCGGGAATTGAATATGGCAATGGGCGGGACAGTTGGAATGGTCATACCATATCCTCGGGCAGAGCTAATTTCGGAGTGGGGTACCCCGGACCTGAAAATAACCACTGACATGGGAAGTCAGTACCGGTACCAATCCAAGCGCTGTCACAACTCGAGGCACAAAAGGCAGAAACCCGTAAACGTGGACTCGTGGTTGGGAAAAATGGGTCGAATCGAGGTGATAGGCGCAATCTGATTCGAATTTTAGAGGCATTGTGGCACTTTGTGGGGGAGTTCTCGCACAGAGACGAAGTGCAAGCCCGCCCTACGTTGCAGTCGGTATTGTGCGGACGATATATTAAATTGCCCCAAACTTTCATATGTGCGTAATGGCCGGCTGTGAGCGAACCGACGAACGTTTGTTATTTTTTCCAATTCAATTCTCCGTTCCCATGTGCTCCTTTAAGTGTCAAACTTCACGTCCGCTCGAAACTTGAAGCGCACCACACCCCCGGACACTGAAGTTTCCATTTCACTTGTCCTCTGAAGGTTGAAATGAAAGTTCGTTCCGACATGCAGATGAGCGACATTTGAGCGAAATGAAAATCGGCATCTTCGGCATCTTAGCAACCAAAACAAAGCAGCCCACTTAAAAACACACCTTTCCGACTTTGACCCATATACTCCCGTGCCTTGGGACGGGAGCCGGAGTCAGGGACTGACTTGAACGTTCATCCGGGATGTTTTATATACGGCCGGTATCCGGGGGCCTAGTACGCCTCATGGACTCGGCTATATCTGTCCATTGCGCCATGTGGTGCCGTAAGTACAGCCTCAGCGGCTTTCCTTCTTCCCCCGTCCTCAACTCGCAATGGTCCTCACCCTCGCCGACGCATTCGACGACAGCCGCCTCAGCGCGGTCGAGCGGGAAAACCAGTCCCGCTGGAAGCTCACATGGCCCGAGTTGAAGCTCCTCTTCATTGCGTCCAGTGCGTGCGGTCGTGTGTCTCACTCGATAACCTTGACTGACGACGATTTGCAGCTGGTTTCTTCATCGATGCATACGATCTGTTCAACATTAACCTGGTGGTCGTGATCCTCAAGTAAGTAAAGACCGTTTGCATCCTTTTGTAGTACTCACAACTTGTGCAGCTACGTCGTGAACGGCAAGCTCTCAGGGACGATTGCGAACGCGCCGCTGCAGGGGGGTGTGCTGAAAGCTGCGGCGAACATCGGGTGTGTGGTGGGGCAGATCGGGTTCGGACTCGCAGGGGACGTGTTTGGGCGCAAGTCGATCTATGGGTTTGAGATGATGGTCACCACGCTCGCGACGGTCCTCATTATCGCCGCCCCGCTCTCGCTCGGCAAGAATCTCTTCACCTACATCACCGTCTTCCGTACCCTCATGGGCATCGGCATCGGCGGCGACTACCCCATGTCAGCCTCCGTCGTCGCAGACCGCGCCAATCTTCGTCGTCGAGGCACCATGGTCACCTTCGTCTTTGCGATGCAGGGCTGGGGCTCGCTCATCGGCGGCGTCGTCTTCATCATCCTCCTTGCCATCTACAAACCCGGCGTCGGCGAGCACCACCACACTGGCCAGCTCAACTCCGTCTGGCGCATCTACACCGGCGTCATCATCGTCCCCGCTATTATTACTATCATCCAGCGCCGCCTCATGACCGAGTCGAGCCGCATGAAGGGCGTGCAGGCCGTCCGTGGGGACCCGAGCCTCATAAACAAAGGCCAGGGCATCGGCGTCAAGCTCGATGGGAGCGCCGAGAAGGTCGGGGAGGGCGAGGGCTCGGATGCGGGCAACAGCACCAGCCATGAAGCCGAGAATGCCGCCGCCTTGGCCAGCGCGCTCGCAGCGACCAAAGCCGCCAAAGCCGCCGCATGGCGCGACGCGCGCGACTACTTCTCCGAGTGGCGCCACCTCAAGATCCTCATCGGCACCACCGCCTCGTGGTTCCTCCTCGACGTCATCTTCTACGGCATCTCGCTCAACCAGTCCATCTTCATCTCCGCGCTCGGGCTCGCGAACAGCAAGGACCCGTGGGAGTTCCTCTGGCAGCAGGGTGTCGCGAACGTCATCATCGCCGTCGGCGGGTTCCTCCCCGGGTACTACTTTACGCTGTTCACGATCGAGTATTTGGGCCGCAAGCCGATACAGATTATGGGCCTCACGATGAACGCGATTATTTTTGCTGTGATGGCGGGGAAATATGCGACGCTCAAGGCGAACCCGAGCGCGTTGATTGCGTGCTTTATCTTTTTGCAGTTCTTCTTCAACTTTGGCGCGAATGCGACTACGTTTGTCGGTGCGTCCTTTCCTCCTTCCCTTTCTCCCCTTCCCTCTTCGCCTTCGCCTTCCCTACCCTCCGTCCCCTTCCTTCCTCGCTAACCCACCACACACAGTCCCCGCCGAAGTCTTCCCCACGCGCGTCCGCGGCTTCGCCCACGGCCTCTCCGCCGCCTGCGGCAAATGCGGTGCCATCATCGCCTCCCTCGCCGTCTCCATCATGAGCACCAATGTCGGCGCGCAGAACGTGCTCTGGCTCTTCTGCGGCGTCGCGGTCGTTTGTGTGCCGTTTACATTTTTGATTCCGGAGACGAAGGATCGGGATGCGGATGTTATTGATTTGGAGGAGAGGAGGGAGAGAGCGAGGGCGGAGGGGGAGAAGATTTGAGGTGAGATGCAAGATGGGGAGGGGAAGGCGAAGTACGACCAGCACCGGGCTATGAGCTATGACGCACTAACGAGTTTCACGCTGTATCCGTGACTAAAAATCTGACTCTCAAAATGCTCTTCAAACCTCGGATTCCTCTCAGTTTAGCCTTTCAGTCATTGCAGTGGGTATTCGGCGCTTGCTTGCTCTCGACACCGAGGCGCGAGACGCTGATGTTAGGCTCTGGGTGTGTGCTTATCATATGGATGTTTGAAAAACTGGTTACTGTTACCGTAACTTACGCCCGGGAACTAACTAACTATACAACAGCTATGCAGCGCTCGCGGTGAGTCTAGATCTGAATCCGATTCGGTTCGTTTCTGATTATAATCTTCCTGTTCAGATAATCTCGTGTTCGTCAAACTACTCCTCGAACTTGAAGCCGCTCTTCTACGGACCGTACATTCTGTGGATACTTTAGATGCCCGTGTCCGTGTCGAACGAATATCTGTGTCGAGAAGAGCTGACTCGAATTATGATCGACATTGATCCCGACGTGGCTTGCGACGTTTCTCTGGCAGTAATCACCGCGGACTGAGACTGGGTATCAAACAAACGTGACTAGAAGGGAAGAAAATCCAGCTCGACTCGACGTTCAAACTGGCTAAGGTACTCACCCAGGAAGTGTACTACTATACCGCCATACAGCGCTCGCGGTGCATCTGACGCGGCTCCTTCAAGTGCAACCTCATGATTAATCTGGCAATCCGCCTGTTCAGATACCTTCGTCACCCGGGACTCCGGTCCTCCAGGGACTGCAACACGATCTTCAATTCTCTGGATACTTCCAATTTCCATGTCTCGAATTATCGTTACACCGCGGATTGAGGAAATGTGGATCAGACAGATATGACTACGAGGGAAAAATTAGACGCTTGTTCGAACAAGTGATCCACGTTCCAAACAATGTTGCCGCGGGCAGGATAAGTCGGGACTTCGTAAGTTCTTGAATTCTTTCGCTCATTCGGACTCGTGGCAGGTTTCTTATCGTATTCTGTATTTCGACCGCGTGCACATCCTGCCTGGCGCAGACTTGTCCTGATTTGCGATCCCTGATTCCTGAGTTGGTTTACTCCTTATTCAAAGTCCAAGTTGGCGCGACGGCTCGTTCTTGGTCAATCAATCAGGTCATTGTATCCTCGCGGCGGGTATTTCTCTTCGCCCGTGAAAGCTGGAACCATTTGAAACCTCATATTCCATTGAGCCCAGTGGGTGTTCAGAACTTCTCTCGACGCGGGGAAACGCTGATTTTATTTAGGATCAGCTGGGTCTGAGTGGATGTCTATCGTATTTATGGGTGAGCGAGTTTCATGTTTGAAGACTGGTTCCTGCACTTACCTTGAATCCACCCGGGAGCTATACAGCGCTACCGAGGTGCGTCTAGATCTGAATCGGCTCTGAAGTGAAATCTGATTAATAATAAATAAAGCGTTTGCGCAGAGCCATTTGAGCCATCAGATGGCTTCCGGTTTTGCTCCATGCCCCCGATCCAGGGTCCGGCCTTGACATGGATAGGCCTCCCCCAGCATCAATTTGGTGTACCTAAAGCGGGTGTCGTCATTCCTCGAACTTGAAGTCGCTGGACCAGGGAACGCAACATGACCGTACATTCCGTGGATACTTTCAATGT